TCATTAGATGCCGATGACGGTCTTCATCAAATGATTTTGATTTTGATTGTTTGGATATATGAAGGTTGAGGTTACGGTGACAGTGAGGCGGCGATGTAACACCCCAAAATAAATAATAATGGATCCATCACATGACAATGCTACAATTGATTAACAGCCTCATAGCTTCTGTTCATTATATCTTTGATCATTACCAAAGATGACATATGCAATATATATTCACCAATTCTAGATTCTGAATCTATAACATATGGCTTGGTTACAAGTGTAAAAAGTGGAATAAATTATGATAATAAAATGTCTTAATGGCTACAACTTTCCAAGACAATGCTAGTTACAACAAAATGAGTTTAAACTCAATACAAGTAAAGTCCAAGGCTTAAACAAAAAATAATTACATCAATAAACCAAAAATTAGGGAAGACAATGGATAACCTACCCTGTGGGTATCCATGGAGACCCAACCCAAATACATGGATTTCCCCCTTTTTCCTTAACCATTGGGTAGGATAAGTGATATTTTTTAAATATCCATAGGGGATGGGTTGGGGATGGGTACCCACTGATTTCCCCATATGTTTTTTTTTTTTTTTTAAGATTCACAACCAAAACTAAATATACATTCAATTTTTTTTCTTTTATTTATTTATTTATTTTTTCAGGTTCACAACCAATTTTTTTTTATTTTTTATTTTTTATTTTTTTTAAGATCCACAACCAAAGCTAAATATACATCTAATTTTTTATTTTTATTTTTAAGGTTCACAACCATTTTTTTTTTTAATTTTTAAGATTCACAACCAAAACTAAATATACATTCAATCTTTTTTCTTTTATTTTTCTTTTAAATTTTTTTTTTAAGGTTTAAGGTTCACAATTTTTTTTTTTTAAAGATTCACAACCAAAGCTAAATATACATTCAATCTTATTTTATTTTATTTGGCTCAACAATAAAATCAAATACACATTAAGGCCTCGTTTGGGAACAGGCTAATTTAGTAACTTTTTGGCTATTTGGCTAAAAAGGTAGGTAAAAAAAACTTGTATGTTTGGGATGACTTTTTGGCTAATTACGAAAAGATGTGCAAAAAGTAGAGAGAAAAGAGAATCTTTGACTTTTTGGTATGGGGGGTTGGCTTTTTGACTAATTTAGTAACTTTTTGGCTAATTGGCTAAAATAGCCTTTTGCCAAACGAGGCCATTGTCATATTATTCTTGTCAAATTTTATGCATATCTAGAATTTTTTAAATTTATTTAAAAAAATTAAGGACACTGTTTAGTGCAGGTTTCGGTTTACTTTTCTATGTTATTTTATTTTGTTATGTATTGTAATTTTCAGAATGGTTTGCTTGTTCTGAAATTTCAATTAACGAGTATGAATCTATTTGTTTTATGTTATCACACAATTTATACAACATATATATATATATATATATATATGAATGTATTTGAAAATAAGAAAATTGTAGAGAATCGAAACAAGCATGAGTCGTGATTGGTTAGAAAGCATAGGTACAAAGATTTATTTGTTGGAAAAATAAAAAGGGAATACAAAGTCTTACTAAATAATTTTTTTTTAAAATAAGAGAATTTTTCTTAATTATGAACAGATTTAACTGAAATCAGCTTGTTTCCCAATGTTATGCTTCATTTATTTAGATAGAAAATATTTTTTATA